GAGAGAAGTATGGTGGAGAGGGTATCCTATTTTGTGTACTTTGAGTAGGCCGTAAAGAATACCGATTTTGAAGCTACATGGGGCAATTTGTTGAATTTGTTTGTTTGTCTGTAATTAAGCACAAAGTTACACAATGGGCTATCTGTGCTCTGCCCACCACGGGTATCGAAACCCGGATTCTAGCGTTGTAAGTCCGCAAACATACCGCTGTGCCACTGGGGGGCAATTTGTTGAAAAATTGTTTCAGAGATAATATTTTGACTTTTGAGGGTCTTGATGAAACGTAGGATCTGATCTTCTGTCTTAAAGGTTAGGGATAAGAAGTTTGTCTCTTTTTTTTTTTAATTTACGAGGGTCACTGAGCTGGTGGTTTATTTTATCAATATACTCAGCTTTTTTATTAATATTATTAACGTTTATTACATTAGTATTGTTGACGATTGGCTGTAAAACATTTTATGATGCATATCGTAAAGCTTTGATTTCACACATACAGAAGATATTTCTAACAATACGCCACGAAAAATAGAACTTAAGAACTATTCAGAGTGGATCCAGGGATTTCACTTTGATTTAAGTTAGTTGCTAAAATTATATTTAGGATGAATCCATAGATTGTACCTTGATTTAAGACAGTTGTTAATACCATCTATATACTTTTGGTTCAAGTGTTGATTAAAACTATATTTATAGTAATCCAGTAGGTTCCAAATTCGTTGAAGTTAGTTAACAATATTGTTATGAACATTATCTACGCTTTTTGTTTAAGTGAACTAAGCATGACCTGAATAATATGTAAGTTATTCAGTAGTACAGTCGTGTCTTGCAGCAAGAAAGTACAGAAGGTTTTTAGAATGTTTCCAAGTAAAGTCATATTATCGTATATGGTGAATTATAAGGAAAACAAATGTGGACAAACTCTCATTTATACGTATAGAAATTACCATTTTACAATATCCAACTATTAAGTAACTTGTTGAGTTTATACATTGAAACTGTTATCCTGCTTACAAAGTATAGCAAGTTTTATATGACTTCGAAAATCTTAAAAACAAGAACAGTTACCGTGTAAGGTACTTCTCACTCAACTAGGTGAGAGGAGCGGCTTCGGTAGGTTAAAGGTCGTTACGCGCAACTCGATAGATCCCATTTTACTTGTTCATTCATTTTGGTCTTTTGCAGGTGTTTTGTAGACATAGTGACCCCGTTTCAAACATAAAATATACTCAATGAAATATTCCCCCCAAACCCCTGAAACCATAACTTAAGTGTTGGGAACTTTTCGAGTATGAACCTTATGAGTGTCTGTAGGCACTTATATGATATAAAAAGCCAACGATCGTAACATTTCTTGTGACCTGAATTCTGTTGAAAAGAGTAATAATCCATTAAACTAAAAGCTAATAATATTTTATAAAGAGGTTTGTCATGTTTAGGTAACTGGATAGTATAACGAGTGTGTTTAAAGAATATCAATCCTGAAACAAAAACAGGTTAGATTGATATGTGTACTACGACTATATAAAGTATAATACAAAAGTATAACGGATGCTGAAACAATACAAAGCTTGTGGCAAGAAACAAGTTAACGTAGTCCGTGCGTTACAACAATAGTGAGACTGAAAGAAAAGTGTTAATTCAATGATTTAAAAACGTTTTAATTGTGTGTAAATGCATTACGTGTTTCATAGCAATAGCTTTATCACGTCAAACTTATCACGATATTATAGCTTCTGAAATAAAAGCATATTTGTCTGATAATTTTATGAGTGATAATAAACGTAAAATATAATAGAAACACCTGATTAGACTGGCATTGCGTGTGGACGATACAAAATACGTTAGAACAATATCAAATCTAATATAAACACCAGATTGATCAAATACTGTGTTATAGAAATACAAAATCTAATATAAAAAAGCAGTTAGTTTGGTATATTTGTTAGAGAGATATGTAATGTAAAATAATTTCTATAGCTAGTCTAACATATGTGTTACAACAATATAAAATTTATGTAGAATTATACACAGACTTTTCTCTACTTTAAAATACTTTTATTTGCGAGCTTTCGGCCTTCTTACCGGAGCATTCATCGGGTAACAATATACTGAGCGATAACAATTCGTTAAATTGTAGAACACTGCTTTAAAATAGGTATCTCAGCAACAGTCGTAACAATAACTTTAACAATTACAGATGTCAGTTATTGTTACGACCATACCGATATAATATACTATATGACTTTAACCATACCGATATGATATACTATATAACTTTAACCAAACCGATATGATATACTATATAACTTTAACCATACCGACAAGATATACTGTCATTTTAAAGGTATTAACATTTACACAACTTGGTGCATAAAGGTAACATACATTACTGACAATTTACTCAAGAAACAAACTTAATTTGGGAATCGATGTTCCTTAACACTTGTGTAACTATTAACAACGTGAGATCAGTAGTGCAAACTAAGATACAAACTTAATTTAGGAATCGATGTTCCTTAACACTTGTGTAACTATTAACAACGTGAGATCAGTAGTACAAACTAAGATACAAACTTAATTTAGGAATCGATGTTCCTTAACACTTCTGTAACTATTAACAACGTGAGTTCAGTAGTACATGCTGCTACAAAGTCGGATTAAAATAATAACGTAATTAGCTATTATATTCGCTGATTTTTTTCCACGTATGTAGCATACGTATTAAATGATCGTGTTTTTTAGTTAGTTTATTAATATCAAGATTTCATTTTAATAAGTTTACATTTTATCCAGCATCGATTTTAGTTCCTAGCTCGAACAAGGCGTGGCCTGGTAGTTAGAAAGTCCGGAGTATGGATCCCAGAATACATGGTTCACGTGCAGTTCCCTCAAAAAGTAATTCTGTTATAATATTGTCAGGTTTTTGTTTAGGAGCTAATGAATGTAAAACCCCGATCGTAGTTAAAATGTGGATATAATGGAAGAAATTCCGTTATAATATTGTCAGGTTTTTGTTTAGGAGCTAATGAATGTAAGACCCCGATCGTAGTTAAAGTGTGGATATAATGGAAGCAATTCTGTTATAATATTGTCAGGTTTTGTTTAGAAGTCAATGAATGTAAAACCCCGATCGTAGTTAAAGTGTGGATATAATGGAAGTAATTCTGTTATAATATTGTCAGGTTTTTGTTTAGGAGCCAATGAATGTTATTACCTTGCGGAATTATAATATTATTCTACTTGTACTCTCAATATCATCGCTGGAGAATACCATACAGTAAGGAGCGCCCTTCGAAACGGCTGAAATGATAAACGTAACGATATTCTTGCAATGGCATCCGTTTCAAACAAGCTGATCTATTAATACGACCTTAATTACAGTGATATATAAACAAAAACGAATAATTCCAGCAGTCTAAACGATCGTGGAAAGTTTTGAGAATTACAAATAACGCCATCTCTGGTAACTAATCGTATTTTATAAATATAGTTGTTTTAAATTGTGAGAGAAAAAAAAACAAAACAGTATATAATATGACATTCTAAAGACAAAGCAAAAAATCAATCCCTACACTTTTTCAATTCATTCCCGAATGTTGCAGTAAGTTTTCTAGTTATCATTATCAAATTACAGTTTGAGATTAGTTGTGTCGATAGTATTTTTTATTCAATCTCACTAACCTTAATATTCTACTTTATTGGGCAATCAAGTGATGCCATTCAACGTCAGTTTTCAGAACGAAAACCTTTCAGTTGGTTTAAGTATTTCAGACCACTCAAATGGGTGTTCATTGGATATTCATTTTAATGCTTTTAAATTCAGTCTTATTTTTCTACTAAATACACAGAACCTTTCAATGTCAGTATCTCTTTTCCCTCACTTATGTTTAAGGATATATTCGACACAATTATATTTCTCCTTTCCTGAAATAAAGAGAAAAAGTTTAAAAAGGAAGATATAGTCAAGCATGGTGTGTCATGGATCAAGAATAGACTAATTTTGGGTATTAAACTATATCATTATATATTGAACGTTAAAGTTTAAACGCCGAAAATATAAACAATAAGCCTAAAAAAAAATTGCTATAAAAACAAGTTAACTGTCTTTTTTTTTTACACATACCGCTAAATCTGTTCATTGGGGCTCGAAATCAGATGTGTGTGAAAAATAGCATTTCAGATCTATCTTTTATCTCCCACAAGTTACTGCCCAATAAGTTTCTGTTCAGTATCAGAACTCATCAGTTGTTTTATAACAATCTTTATTTATTGCCCCATCTCTCCATTTAGCCCCATCCAGTAGCACAGCGGTATTTCTACGGACTTACAACGCTAGAAACTGAGTTTCGATACCCGTGGTAGGCAGAGCACAGATAGCCCATTGTGTAGCTTTGTGCTTAACTTCAAACAAACTCTATTTAAGTACGCTTTAGTTTCGTATATCTCAGTAATACTGTATTAGCACATGGTACTGGAGATGAAGAATTGCAAGATAATGGTTTCAATTATAGGACGATTTAAACTAATAAAGAGTGTGAAGATACCATTAGATAAAGCTCTACCATTTTACTTATATCACGGCTGAACTAGTTAAATCAAACATGAAAAAAGCACTCTCACTACAGTAAAGGTTAAAAGAGAAAGAATATGACGTGATAAAGAATTAACATAAAATATAACATAAGATATATTCAAAACTACCCAAGTATACTACTGCTTCAAAACCAAAATTCATTATATTCAATTAGAATACTTTATCTTCTATTGTATTATCAGAATTACAACGTGTATTAAATATGATAAATACTGTTTACAGTGAGCCCCCCCCCCAGTGATACAGCGGTATTTCTGCGGACTTACAATGCTAGAATCCGGGTTTCGATACCCGTGGTGGGCAGAGCACAGGTAGCTCATTGTGTAGCTTTGTGCTTAATTACAAACAAACGTTTACGGTGTAACTTGTATGTATATATTGTGTAATATTTCACCTACACATCAAAATGCGTTTGTTTTCTTTTTCTACAGGTATTGGAATGGATGATACATTTGTCCTTCTGGCCGCTTGGCGACGCACAGAACCGAAGAAGTCGGTTGAGGAAAGAATGGCTGAGACGTATTCAGATGCAGCCGTCTCCATAACTATCACATCTATCACTAATTTCATATCTTTCATGATTGGAATAATCACACCCTTTCCTTCTGTACAAATATTCTGCACCTATACGGCTATGGCGGTTCTGTTTACCTACATCTGGCATATTACCTTTTTTGGAGGCTGTATGGCTGTTAGCGGATATGCTGAAAGTCGGAACCTACACAGCGTTTTCTGCTTTCCAATTACACCGAAGTCTCTTGCAAGTGAGTAACTATATAAGACATCAAGATATTGTTACGTATTGAGAATTTGAAATAATTCGAAGCCGCGCCAAATAATATATCTTTTAATAGT